GGAGGATACTGCCTGGGTTCGCAGATACTCCCGCGCCCATGGAATCGTCAGAATTCCTCCCTTCGCCTTCTTCTTATGGCCCCTTCCTGACTTCAACCCCCCCCCCCTTTTTTTTTTGTGGAATCCAATCATTGACTCGGATACCAGCATCTCACAGCCCAGGGACCTCCGTTCAGACTTGTTTCAGGCACAGGGTACAAAGGCCAGAATATCTGGTCTCTCTACCTCCTTACCCAGTTTCAGCAAGCACTGTCCCTTTCTGATCACATTCTGGAATCACCAGGGGAGCTCTAAAAAGCAATAGAGACGGGTAGTGAGATGGCTCTGGGAATAGAGGCATAGGTTATAAAGTTTGAGGAACCCATACACCCCTGGATCCACATGGGAAAGGGAGAGAACCAACTCCACATATTGTCTTTTGACCCCCACGTATGTAAATTTGTGTATGCGCACACACATATGTGTAAAAAAAAAAAGGAGCCAGAGACGCTGAATTCTATGCCAGAGATCACATAATTATGCCAGGGTATACAATATTGTTTACATGTTTTCGTGGGCTGCAGAGAAGGCTCAGCAGTTAGGGGTATTTGTTGTTCCCAGCACCAAAATGGCAGTCACAAACATCTGTAACTTCAGTTTCAGGGGATCCAATGCCCATTTTTGATCTCCTCAGACATCAGGCACACAGGTGGTGCATATTTATACACAGAGACAAAACACTGCTGTCCCTAAAATAAATAAATCTAAAACAATTAAAAATGAAAACACATTTTGCCTCATGAACCAGTACCCGAAATTTGATGGTAGAAATGTCAGGCCTCGGATTCTCTTTCCAACCTGCTGAATTCAAATCTGCATCTCTCGACAAGACGCCTAGGTGACTGAGAATCGCTGTTCTAGTTCATATACCACGTCCTTCATTCATGGCTACCAGACTATTCATGCCGCAGCAGCAGCCGTCCAAAGTTCTTCACTGTGACCTACAGAAAGACACAGATTTTTTACATCAAGATGCAGAACACACACACGTATGTATAATGAATCAAAAATGTCGTAAAAACAACATGCCCACTGCCTGTGATATATGCTCATCCATTCCACAAACATTCTTGGCATCCGTGTTGTGTTAGGCCTTATTCCAACAGTGTGTACACAGAACAAAAATTCATGTTGTGGTAGGGTTTATAGTCTGCTCGGGCGGGAAAGAGAGACCATCAGGAAGTCACAAATAACCCACGAGTATGAAAGGCACGCTGAGAGCGTAGTAAATCTCTTTATTAAGAAACATCTTGAGTAAGGCTGCCCTCGGGAGCTGGCTACGTTCCAGGACCCTGATGTGAATGCCCTTTATAAAGACACGAGCTTTTGGATTTCTCTGGATTCATTTTTGTACACTTTATATTTAAAATAAAAAGTCAAAACAGCTCTGCTTTGGTATTTTCTATTTTTAAAAATGATTTTTGTGTGTGCATTGATGTTTGTTACAGACAGTTGTGAGTCACCATGTGCATGCTGGGAATCAAACCCTGGTCCCCTGGAAGAGCAGTCAGCACTCTTGCCCACTGAGCCTCTCTTCAACCCTGGTATCTTCTATCTTATTGTCCTTTGATTAGAAAAGAAAAGCCAAGCCAATATTCACTGGATTTAATTCACCTCCTGCTGGTAGTTTTACAACCTTGCTTTAGTCAGAAAAGTAGGGGGGTGGGGTGGGGTGGCAAAAAACAAAGTCTTGGTGCAATGATTCTGCAGCATCTTCCAAGTCTTGGCTGAGTGTCTGCAGGTGTGAGCCAGGGTGCCTGCCACCCCTGCTTTGCCTTCTTGTTCACCCCGCAGGGCAACTGTCTCCCAGTGGAGATTCTTCAGGGAACCACCAGCACGGCCCTGGAGCAGGCTGGCACACTGTGTTCGGAACTAGACCCGACAAGTCCTCCTCCCCTCAGAGTCACTATGCTGTTGGCAGCTCTCTCAAAGTTCCAGGTCTGGGAAGAGTCTGGGTCAGGCACCTCCCAGGTCTCCTGAGCCTTTGGCTTCTAATCTGAAGCTCATTCCTCCATTAAGCCATCAGCTACCCTGATGTCACAGCAGTCTCCAGTCACTTGTACTGCCAGGCTAGGGTGATAGGGAGGCAACCAGGGCCTCAGAGCAACCTCCCAGTGCAGCTCAGAGCAGAGCGGGATGGAGGAAGCAGGAGACGGCAGCCAGGGCCTCAGAGCAACCTCCCAGTGCAGCTCAGAGCAGAGCGGGATGGAGGAAGCAGGAGACTTCCGGTATTCTCAGATCTGAAGCGTCAGGTAGCCATGCGCTAGGGATTTGTGAGGGGCACAGATCTTGCGGGTGATTGGAGGAGAGACCGGAGAAGGGAACCTGAGCAGCCTTAAGAGAGTTACCTGTCAGGACCTTCTGATGGCACTGCATTGACCCCTTGCTCTGTTTGATTTGGAGCTGGAGCATTTTGGCCAAATCAGTTGCTTGCATCTATTGACCACGAAAATCTAGTTATAGCCTGGATGTTTTTCTGCAGCACAGCTCCTGGGCTGACATTGTTTTATTGTGCTCGAGTGATTCAGAGAACAGGCTATGAAGTCAACGGCTGGATTGGATTTCTGGCTTTACTACCGTGGACCAGGCGAGACTGAAAGTCACACAAGGCTTCGGCTCTATCACTATAAACCGAGAGTGGCAATATGTTCTCATTGCTGGGGGGTGAGGGGGGGATGATGCAGAGGGCAAGACTATGCTCATGAGCTCTGTAAATCTTAGCCGCTGTCGTGACTGAGGCAGACAGTGTGAGAGAGGTTGGGGGACAGAATCCCTCGGCTTTCTTCTACCAAACACATTGAATTCTTTTTCTCCCTGAGGCCGGGCACCTAGCTGAATAGTCACCCCTCGGCTCCTGGGTAAGAGTCTCCACCAAATGAGCTGAGATGAAATGATTCAGCATGTTTCTCTGTCCACCTCACGGAGTGAGCCACCGTGACCCAAATCCACGCAGATTAGTTCTTGTCTAGCTTACTGGAACTCATCTCCTTTCTGGATGTCTTAACTATCCACCTTCTTGGCCACAGCCTTTGATCTCAATGCCAGACAAATAAGTACGGGAGTAGGACCAAGCCCACCTGCCCACTTCCCGAAAGCACAACCCTTAGGAGTCAAGGGCTGATGGGAAGGAAAACCCATCTTATTAAATTGCTTGCACTCTGATCAGATGAGTGGAACTATCATACCCCTCAAACAATTAAGTGCACAAAAGGGATATTATTATTATTTTATTTTATTTTGGTTGTTGGAGATATATATATCTATATATCTATATATCTATATCTATATCTATATCTATATCTATATCTATATATATATATATATATATCCCTGGTTGTCCTGGAACTCTCTCTGTAGACCAGGCTAGCCTCAAACTCAAAGAACCACCTGCCTCTGACTCCCGAGTGCTGGGATTAAAGGCGTGTGCCACAGGACATAAAAGCTTTTATAAGGAAAGAAAAAGGGGCAGGTCCTGGTCTGGTAAGGAGCAAGAAGAACTTGTCTTCATTCAGGGTCTTCTCTCTCTCTCTCTCTCTCTCTCTCTCTGACCTTGACTGTTGACTGCTTGGGGTTAGTTCCTATAATTCTTTAGACTTATTACTTTTCTGTAAGTTAAAACTCACAGCATTTTGCATAGGTGAAATACAGGACTTAGAATAAGGAGTGGCCTTACACACTCCTAACTTTATCAGAGGTCACCAAATGTGGACTTTGTAAATGTAAAGTATGGTTATCTGTCAACATCTTAATCATTTAGGGTCAGCTTTCCTTGAGAATTTAGAATGCTGTAAAAGGAATGAAAAGTCAAAGACGGACCCATAGAAAGTGACAGCTGCCTACTCCCAATGAGATGGCTTATCCTTCATCCTTATTTTCTTATTATGTCTGCTTTATAAATGAGGTGGAGACAATCATGGGGCTCAATGGCACTGAGCCTGTGGGTTCCAGGTCTTACTGTGTAGCCTGTGGGTTCCAGGTCTTACTGTATAGCCTGTGGGCTCCAGGTCTTACTGTGTGGCCTGTGGGTTCCAGGTCTTGCTGTGTAGCCTGTGGGTTCCAGGTCTTGCTGTGTAGCCTGTGGGTTCCAGGTCTTACTGTGTAGCCTGTGGGTTCTAGGTCTTGCTGTGTAGCCTGTGGGTTCTAGGTCTTGCTGTGTAGCCTGTGAGTTCTAGGTCTTGCTGTGTAGCCTGTGGGTTCCAGGTCTTGCTGTGTAGCCTGTGGGTTCCAGGTCTTACTGTGTAGCCTGTGAGTTCTAGGTCTTGCTGTGTAGCCTGTGGGTTCCAGGTCTTGCTGTGTAGCCTGTGAGTTCTAGGTCTTACTGTATAGCCTGCTTCCATTTGGGTTAGGATCACATTGCACTGACATTGGGAATCCCAGTGTGTTTTTTCTTTCTGGGGAGTGGAGGACTACCTGCACACAAGGAAAGAGAGGACCTAAGAGGAGTGGGGAGGGAGGATGATGGCATTGCTTAGGGGCAGTTTCTATCCAAGGCTCCAATAGGAAGACAAACTCTCTGGTTCTGGAATACCTCCTTTGATTCCAGGGAAAGAACACAGGGAATGGTCCACTTTGTTTCTGCCTGGCTGCTAGATTAAAGCAGGAGCAATTGAGAACAGGTAGAAGTGAGTTTTCACTCCCACAAGGTAAACTCGCAGGAGCTGAACCGCCACTTAGAATTTCAAACACTCAGGAGGCAGCGGCAAGAAGTTCGAAGCCAGCTTTGGTAGCAGCATAAGACTGTCTTTTCCCCTTCCTACCCACTCTTATTTTAGGACATCCCTCGCACTTGACTTTGTTAATCGATGGAACGTCCTCTTTTTGAACTTCACCTTTCAGTTTTGTGTGTGTGTGTGTGTGTGTGTGTGTGTCTGTGCACGCCCGCGCGCGCAATACAGGGCCCGGACCCTTTAAGAGGGCGGAGCGACTCTAGTGGGCCCCACCCCCCGGGGCGGCGCAGGCGCGCGCGGGCTCTGGGAACCCGGCTGGAGGGCCGCCGGCTCGCGGGGCCGCAGCACCTGCGGGCGGCGCGGCGCCCGGGTGGCCGAGGTTGACAGCCGGAGGCGGGGGCGGGACGCCGGGCCCCCACTGCCCTCTCGGGGCCGAGGCGGAAGCCGCGGGGCGGGGGCGCGCAGGGCAGCACCATCTGGAGGGGCGGGAGCGCGCGGCCTCTGGGGGGCAGGCGCGTGCGCGGCGCGGCGGGTTCTGGGGGTCGCCGGCGGGGGGCGCAGGAGGAGCGCGGCGGAGTGAGCCCCGCGTTGCCGGAGCAGCAGCCGGCGCGCGTCGGGCGGCTCAGCTGGGGCCCGCAGCTTCTCCGCGGGCTGAAGCTCGGCGTGGAGGAGCAGGGCGGGGTGGGTCCGGCCGTGCAGGAGGAGGGCGGCGTGGGGCTGGGGGTGCAGGAGCGGGGCGGCCGCGCTCAGGAGCCCAGCCTGGGGGTGGTGTGGGAGCCGCCCGCCGCCGCGGATTGGAGGCGCCCGGCCCTCTGGACGGCCTCGGCCGGCGGGCCCGTGGCGCAGGAGGTGGGCCTGGGGCCCCGCAGGCAGCAGCAGGAGAAGGGGGGAGGCGGACCCGCAGTGCAGGAGCGCGGCGAGGCCCGTGCCGGGGTGCAGGAGCGCGGGGAGGGCAGCCCACGCAGGCTTCTGCGGCACCCCGAGGAGCTGCCCGAGTTGACGGACGGTTCCTTCCTGCACACGGAGGAGCCCGAAAGTTCGGACGAGCGCAGCTGGGAGATCTGCGGGCACCTGGGCAGGGAGGCGGTGGTCCTGGGAGCATCCCCCGCGAGTGGGGACAGACCCGAGTTACTGGGGAGGGCCAGGCCTGTGGGACCCCGGGGGCCTGAAGGAGAGGGGCGTCTGGGGGTGCAGGAGGCAAATTGGCTGCCCGGGGTACAGGAGGGTCAGGTCGCGTGGGCCGTTCAGGAAACGTATCTGAACGGTAAAGGGTCCCCTGGAGGTGAGGAATTCCAAGGGGGACACAGGACCCGCAGGCGCAGGCGGCGGAGGAGGTGGTAATCTGCAAGCCACTACGCTGCCATAAGGAGTCCTCCAGTGCCAAGAGTAATGCTGGAGGATGTAGGGGATTGGGAAGAGCGCTGTGAACCTGACCTTTGGAAGCCATTGCCGGAGGGCAGGCACTGGCCTGCAGGACCTTCTCTGCGACGTCGAGTTTGAGCGTCCTCAAAGCAGTGTCTGCCTCCGGGCAGCTGAAAACTCAGGTAAGAAAGGTCAGTTTTGTTCCCAGCTGGAGTTGATGTGTTTAGAAGAATGGACTCCAAACAGCCCTCAGGTTGACTAACCCCGGAGCATCCTCCGCCCCGATTGTATCAAGCAGCTGCTCCAGCAGAGTAGTCACTTCTTTCAAGTCTAGACTGGATGTAAAGTCCTTTGAGTGGCAGAGGGAAGGGAGGGGAAGGTAGCCCCAGGGCTAAAGTTGCGCGGAAGAAGTCAGCCCTCCACCCGTCTGCTGGTGGTGGTAGGTGTGCCCCCGTGTGACAGGGCACGTTGTGCAGTTCGCCTCGGTGGCCTCCAGAAAAGGGAAGTGGGTAGTGTTGTTTTATCAGTGCCTTATCTTGTCCTGTGGGTCACGTGAGGGTGCCAGTCAGTAGTGACTGGGGCACGAGCCTGACCTGCGCCTGCCACACGGTTTTGTCACGGTTGATTATGCTGTGGGCCCAAAGCCAAGGATGGGTAGAGGAGCAGAGCGCAACTGGTTTTCATCTCTGAATGGAGTGCCAAAGGAGAGAGGAGGGTGTCACAGCGGCTGCTGCCTCCTCTTTGGCCTAGGCCTTGAACTCACACTGTGGAAGGTGGCAGATAGGACGCTGTGGTATCCTGTTGAGGTCTCTTCACACCCCCACCCAACCCTGGGGCTTCTTCTTGGCACAGTCTAGAGATGGAGCATACAGGGGCCAGGGCCAGGGGCTAAATTTGGTTTCTTGTTAACACAAGGACCCACCAGCTCTTTCCTGGTCCAGGTGGGCTTAGTAGGCAGCTTACAGCCTTTCTTTCCCTAGCCCTGTCAAAAGTTCTTGTATCTCTGCCCCACCAGTGGGAATGGATCCAGAGTTGCTCTCAGGGCCTTAGCAGGGAATATCTCTGCCCCAGCCCACCATGTGTCTATGGTTCAAATGCCCCCCATACCCCAGTTCTGAACCAGCCTGGGTGGAGGTAGGGTTCTCCTGTGGGGGCAGAAGAAGGGGTGGTGGTGGCTAGGACTGGTGGAGGAGCCGGTTTGCCGGCTCTGGCAAGCCCAACCTGTCTGTCCGCTTCAACCCGTGCCTGTCATGCTGTCTCAAACATTCTGACACGGGGAGTTTAGCTGCTGTGTCCATGGTGCCACGCTTTCCTGGAATGAGCAGAGTGGTTCTGGCTCACTGACTTCAGTGTGGAGAGTTCTGCTCTCAGTGTATGTATAAGCATACACTTACTTTAGGGTGACTTTCCAGACTTTTCAGTGAATAGCAGGAGAGCAACTGGACTGCTTTTTTGGCACCACCTGAGCTCGCAGTGCCTAGCATTTTGTGTAAGTGGAAATCAAATAGTGACCTTTTAGAGTCTGGCTTCTTTGGTCCAGCATCTTTATTTCAAAACTGGCACATGTTGTTACATGTATCATTAGTTCATTCCCTGTCATTGCTCAATAGTCTTGAATGGGTATGTCATCGTCTTTATAGCCATGTACGTGGTGATGGGTACGTTTCAGACTGAGTATTACAGAGTTAGCCTCTTCGGGTGCTTGTGTTAGCCTTTGTGTGGCTATATGCTTTCATCCTCCCAAGGAAATTCTTAGGACTGGAATGCTTGCTCGCATCATATTGTAGGTGAACATTTAACATTTAACGAACTTCTAGACTTACCACATAACCCCAATTAATAGCTATCATATTTGCATTTTCACAAACCAGTTAAAATAAATTTAATTTTTTTTAAGCAACCGAGGAAATAGTATTAAAAATAAATAGCTGGTCATGGCTGCATGTACCTGTAGCCCAGCTACTTGGGATGTTGAGGCAGGAGACTGACGAGCCCAGGAGCTAAACGTCAGCCTGAGCAACTTAGCAGGACCCCAGCTCAGCAAAAAAGCAGCATCCCCCCCAAAAGACCCCAGGGCCCCAAACCTACCAGACAGGCTGTTTTTCAAATGGTTGAACAAGTTTATAACCCTACCATAGATTGTATGGCGGTGTGTTTAGACACCTAGGAGGTGTACAGTCTGTCTGATAGGCTTTAATTAGCGTTCCCTTAGTGACTAATGTTGGCGTCCCTTCCTGTACTCGTTCGATTGGGAATCTATTCACGTTGTTTACCCATTGTGTGGATGTTGTTTTTCTCATTGTTTTAAAGAATTTAAAAATATATTCAGAATATAAGTTTTATCAGGTGCATAATTTGCAGATTTTTCTTGTAGTTTGTGGCCTGAATTTTAATCATTCTTTCTCCCGCTTTCTCATCCTTTCTCTTTGCTGTTGTTTTAACTTAATCATATTTACAATTATTTACTTAATGTGTGTATGTTCATATGTGTGAAAGCCAGGAAAAAAAAAACCTTTGGGAATCAGTATTTTCTTTCTACCGTATGGGTCCAGGAATTCAGCTCAAGTCGTAAGTTTGGCAGCAAGTACCTTTTCCTCTTGAGCCATCTTGCTAGCCTTTTTTTTTTTTTTTTATCTTTAGACAGGATCTTATGTATCCCTGGCTGACTTCAGCCTCCCTCTGTAGCTGAGGATGACCTTGAACCAGTCTGGTACACTAGGTTACCTCTTGCCACCGGTGGGATCCAGAAATGGAATTCAGATTGGCTTTCGGTTCCCGGGCCTGCCTCAGTGCTGAAACTGCAGGCAGGTACCTCACATGGCGACTGCTGTTGTGGATGCCGATGATGCGGAGCCTGAAACCTCCCCAAGCTTACTTGGTCTAGCAGCTTTTAGCTTTCTTATAGGTCCATTGCATTTTCTTGATAGTGCCCATGTCATCGGCTAGCAAAGACAGTTTTATTTTTCCTTTCTATTTCCTTTTTTTTTTTTTTTTTTGCCTGGTCATAACGGCTGTATCGTGGTATGGAAGAATAGATATCTCAGTGCCCATCCCTGAGGGAAACATTATATCTTTCACTGTTGAGCGTGCTATTAATTGTAGGGTTCCTTCATGTACAGAATGCCTCAGTTTGAAAACTTTCCTTCCGGTCCTGGTGGTGAGAGTCTTTTGTTTTGTTTTGTTTTCGAGACAGGGTTTCTCTGTAGCTTTGGAGCCTATCCTGGAACTTTCTCTGTAGACCAGGCTGGCCTTAACTCACAGAGATCTGATTGCCTCTTGTCTCCCTCGTACTGGAATTAAAGGTGTGCACCACCACCGCCCAGTGAGTGTTTTAATCAGAATGGTTGTTGGGCATTGTCTGCTCTGTGTCAGTCATTGATTATTGAATTTTCTGTTTTGATTTATTAACGTGAGTAACATAAAATTTTATGTATATGATATTTATACCAGCACTATTATATATATATGTGTGTGTGTGTGTGTGTGTGTGTCTATATACACAAATATACCCTACTTGTAAGTAATTTGTTAAGGTTTATTGTTTTACTTTTTTTATTTTTAAGTTGTGTTGACTGAGTTTTCTGTCCTGCCCAGTTCCCTCAGTCGTTAAGTCCCAAAGAAATCACACAGAGGTCAACATTAACTATAAACTGATTGGCCCATTAGCTCAGGCTTCTTATTAACTCTTATAACTTATATTATCCCATTATTCTTATCTGTGTTAGCCACATGGCTCAGTACCTTTTTCAGTGAGGCAGTCACATCCTGCTGCTTCTGTGGCTGGGCAAGGACTTCAGAGGAATGGGCTCCCTCCTTCCCAGAATTCTCCCACCTCTACTTCCTGTCTGGTTGTCCCGCCTATACTTCCTGCCTGGCTACTGGCCAATCAGCGTTTATTTAAAATATAATTGACAAAATATAGACAATTGTCCCACACTAAGGTTGGACATCTATATCCCAGAATGGCCTTGAACTTGCTATGTGACTTAGGCTGGTCTTGAACTCTGTGCAGTCCTCTGGCCTCAGCCTCAGCTTCCCTAGTGCTGGGATGGCAGGTATATTCTACCACATCTGGATTGTGATCTTCGGTGGAGTCAGGCATAGTGTTTGTGGCATGTTGGTAACCCCAGCACTCAGGAGACAGAAAGAAGCAAGAGGACCAGGCCAGCCTGGACTGTGCATGGAGCAATACTCTATGTCCACAAAGAACTTGTGCTTCTGTTTTCAGGTGCTTTTTTTTTGTATGACTGTAGAATTCATAGTATACATCTTTTACTTATTATAGTTTCTTTCAAGTGATACTAGTGTAAGAACCTTAAAGGATGCTTTCTCGTCTCCCTCTTAGGAAACAATTGTTACAAACTACATGCTACATTGATACTCTCACCTTACCTTTTAAACCATTTTGAATAATAAGCAAGGGCTTTCCTGGTAAGTGTCCAGCACTGTCTGCTTCATTCTTTGGGTGGTCTTTTCCCCTGGTCTCTGTCAGTGCCTGCCTTTACATGCATGAGAGCAGTGCTCAGCAGATCTTTGCGGGGACCTTTGGCATAGATCTCTGGGACGGTCTCCTTTCTGGCTCTCTGAACTGTAAGCACATGAATCTTCCCTGGGGCCTAAGCTCCAGCTTCTCAACTTAGTTTTATCTCTCGTTTTGATCAGGCTAGATGCCCATTATTTTCTTTCTTTTTATATCATTTTTATGTGCATTTCATGAGTGTTTTGGCTACATGTATGTATGTATGTGTACCACATGTGTGTCTGGTGCCATCAGAGGTCGGTAGGAAGCATCTGATCCCCTGGAACTGAAATTACAGACAGTTGTGAGCTGCCATGTAGATGCTGGGAACTTGATCCAGGTCCTCTGTAAGTGCTCTTTATGGCTAAGCCATCTCTCTAGCCCCAACCCCCTCCCCTTTACAAAAAGATTTTGTCATGTCTCCCCCCGCACCTTGAGACAGGACCTTACTATATATTCCTGGTTGGTCTGATATTCACTCTGTAGACCAGGCTGACCTTGAACTCACAGAGATCGGTGAGCTCCATTTGCTCCTGCCTGCCAAGTGCTGGGATTAAAGATGGGCACCACCATGCCCGACTCTTGTCTGTCCGTCTGTCTGTCTGTCTGTCTATCTGCTCATTTGACATGTTCAGTTATGCAAAGAAAAATGTATTCAACTGC